CAGTGGCGGTGGTGGCGTTTTGACCGCAAAGCCTGGGTCAATCATGTACTACGCGAGCACCCCTACGACGAGCAAGCCACTGATCTGGTCAAGCAGGTGATGGAGGCCAAATTGGTCGCCCAGTGCAACAAGTGTCACCTCTTCTTCGAAGCTACTGGTATCAGTCAACACCGCTCCCGATGTGGTGCCAATCTGAAGCGAGCGACCGAGGCGTTGTTTCATGCGGCTGGACACGACCTGCTTGAGATTATGCGTGGCGCTTGGCCCCAACAGTGTGTAGGGTCTCGCATCAGTGTCTGCGAGCTGCTCAAGCTCGCCCGGCATCCACTGATGCAGCGCAGCCGCTACCCATCCAACGCCACCGAGACCAAGCTGATGGCTGCCACCTTGAGCCAGCTGTATTGGTCTGCCGTCCATTCAGACTATACCGCTGAAGAGCGAGAGATGTGCTGGGCTTTGATTTTGGCCTTGCCTAGCATGTTGTTGTCTGCTCCCTCGACCGCACTGTCTACGATTGACCTGCGCAATATGTTTCACGATCGTCTCCGTTGGCTTGTGACGGGGCAACTAGGTCGGGTCGTGGACGCCATGCGCAAGGCAGTCGCACGCAAGCAGAGCCGTCGAGGACAGCTGAACGCCGGCGCGGGCGCCCACCCGAACGACGCAGTCGACCAGAGCCTCAGGTCGCTCGTCCGCGACCCGGACCTGGCGGACGAAGCCTGGGCAAACCACGTCACGAACCGTCTGAACCGAGGTCAGATTGCCAAAGCATTTGATGCCGACAAGGCTCGTGCCGTGATTGGTAATTCTGAGGTTCAGGCCGTGCGCGACCTCTTGGTACCGCCCGGGCTGACCCCGTTCATTGCTTCGACACCCGCCTCCACGTCTACACTGGCACCAGCCACGGCTGTGAGCTCCCCAACCGTGTCTTTCACCAAGGGTGAGCTCCCCAAGGCGTTGGCGGCCACCAAGGGTGTCACCGACCCCTATGGTTGGTCTGGTGAGCTTCTTGCCTCCATCTACCGCATCAAGGAGCACTTCAGTCAAGTCTTGGGCCCACGCCAGGGTCCTACCAGCGATTTGACTGCTCCTTCTGATGGAGACGCGCCTCAGGGCCCCACCACCGCGACTGGAGGTCCTCAGGTTACCTTGAACAAGATCTTTCACCACATTGCCAACAACACCGTACCCGAGTCGATTCGACATGCCCTTTGCTCCATCAACTACACTATCCTGGAGAAAGCCAACGGCAAGTTTCGACCCGTGGGCACGGATTCCATCTTCAACAAGGTTGTCAACCGCGCTCTGCTCGAACAACAGCAGCCCCATATTGCCCACTTACTACAGGCCAGTCCA